AGAATTTTACAGCAAATATTTTTTTAATGTATTTTACTCAACTTGGGGCATTATGGTGGATAAAACAAAATATGCAGCCTAACTAACTAATGAATGAATACTTGCTGTAAAATTTTTATCAATGTTATACACATAGTGACCAGTTTGGCCGCCAGTTTTGATTTCATTTCTTTAAGTTGCACACTCAATCCTTTTTTGGCCAAACCTTTTTTCACACCTAAAGTGTTTTTGATTACATATCATGACTTTTTGTCAATACACACCAACAAACCACAACAAGTAAGAAAGTGACACTCGATAGTCACCCACATTGGCTTTAGAATCGCAACCCTATTATTCGAGACAGACCTTTACTTTACAGAACCAACCAGATTCTGTAAAATATATGGTGGTAGTTTTTACTCTCTAAAACAGAGTTAATAACTTCCTTTATAGTAATGCCATAGAATCTAGATTAACAGTTTCTTGTCATCACTCGCATGCACTCGGTACAGCCGTATCAAGTATCATTATTTTCGTTAATTGTTTAAGCTTATTATCACGTGACACTAAACGCTCTTTAGTTAGGATAATTTCATAAAATTTAGTAAATATCTGCTGAAAGGTTGGTAATGAATAATCAATAATAACTGTCCACCCGTATGATTCTTTTGGAAACTTGAGCTAGAAACTGCTAATCTAGTTTGCTTGGCATAATCAATACTTAGGCATCTGCACATCCTTTTACCTTATCGTTTTGCTGCTGTAAATCTGCCATCTTTAATCCAAATGACAAAAAAACTAAAAATGGTCCACTTGTACTCTTAAGTGAAGCTGTAGTACAAATGTTAGACCCATAGCTCACGTGACTTTTTTGAGTATGCGTGCGCAAACAGTTTCGTAAAATTTGAGCGGTTTTTGTTGAATAACCTTGCACATGTGGCTTATATTTGCACCAAATGAGACTCCTACTTATATGTTGAAAATATCTATCAATGTATCGAACTTGAAAAAAATCCATAAAAGTTAAGTATATTTTTCTATCAAATAAAATTTCCGTACTTTTGGTGTGAAGAAAAGAAATAGGAAGAAACTCAATCAAAATTGGAGATGTTATATCTCAGGTGTTTCTTAATGGATTGCCTTAAAATTTGATATGTGAAGTAAAAGTCTAGAAGAGCACATCCACTAAAAATATGTAATAGTTTGCATTACCACAGTCCGAGATACAGAAGGTAGAAAATTCCTAAACTATCAGAGTGTGTCCTGCAGCAGGTTGTTTTGGCCGCACTACACACCACTGTGTGCCTTGATAGCCAGTTGCATGGTACACAGAAATGTCTTCCGCTAACTGAAGACATCAATACGATTAAATAAAGAACTTCACTTCCAGTTTAATATTCTCTGAAACGTTTTACTGTCTGAACAGAAGAGCCAAAGATTAGTAGAAAATTTTAAACTCTATGATAAAAACAAAACAATTTCATAAGGAGACGTTAATGAATTTATCCGTCAAGTGAGATATAGAATTTTAATTAGCCATAAACTGCATATCATTGCTGTAAGTATTAAGAGAAATGATGATATGTACACCCTTTAAATGTTGAATGTATTGAAATAAATGGTCAACTATTCGCTTTTACCTTGGTAGTATTGATAGAAAAGATGTCAGAAGTTTCCAATTTATTTTGACAAATAATCAGTTTATATGGCTCATTACACTAATTGTTGTGACTAAAATAATTGCGACACGTGTTTCGTTATCTTTTCTTATTGTTCAGTAAACTTATAAGCGAATAAATGTTTCATTTAGAGTATGAAACAATAATTTGCATAACATAAGAAAACCTGTGTCATGATTAACTCCAGACTAACGTAATAAGTAAACTAATAATATATATATATATTAATAATAATGTTATAATCGTTTCCATTAAAAAAGCAGTTCACTTGTAAGGTATCATAGTTTTTGACCTGAACTTTAATTATGTTGAATATAAAATACGTCGTAGTTTTTTTGCTACTATTGTTTAAGATATTGAATACGCTTGATGTAAATGTTTCTGTGTATTATTTTTTTTTGTCAAAGACAGCATCATATGAATCTTGAGTTTTAATGAAGGTAGAAGAACAATAATATTTGGAATTTAATTGTGTTAATTTCAATTGAAAAAATATAATGGTAATTGAAATTGATAATTATCATATTAAGATAAATTAAAATCTTACATGAATTTATATTATGGTATGATTGCAAAGTAATTGTTATGGAGAAGTAATCAAGGAAATAACTGATTCGTCTACGCGTCATAATAAATATAATGTGAACTTCTCTTACACTGTGTATAACATATATATGGTATGATTGCAAAGTAATTGTTATGGAGAAGTAATCAAGGAAATAACTGATTCGTCTACGCGTCATAATAAATATAATGTGAACTTCTCTTACACTGTGTATAACATATATATGGTATGATTGCAAAGTAATTGTTATGGAGAAGTAATCAAGGAAATAACTGATTCGTCTACGCGGCACAATAAATATAATGTGAACTTCTCTTACACTGTGTATAACATATATATAAAGGAGGATATTTCACATATATTTAGAAAAAATATTGGTAAAATAAAAAGCAGTTCAGTAACAGATTAAATATTATTAGAAAAGTTTTTGATTGGTTGGTTATTGTTAAGCACAAAGCTACACACTGGTTATCTGTGCTTTGTCCACCACGAGTATCGAAACTCGATTTTTTAGCATCGTAAGCCTGCAGATGTATCGCTGAGCCATTGGGGAGCATTTTTTCTGGTATGTCTGATTCTTATAGGTCATGTTACAAAACTCGTGATTAATATAAACAACGTTAATGAGATCTACAACGTACAGTTGACACAAGTGTATATAGTTGTTAGAAAGAGCTCAGTTTAAACTATACTCTACCAACAGTTAATTTGAAATTGGCGCACAGTTTTCCTCATGGTGTACACGTAACTGCTGTTAGTATTGTTGTCTGCTTTAGTATTACTAAAATATGATGCTTTTACCAAAGAATACATTAGAGAACTAATACATCCTGGAGAATAGTGTGAAATCCTGTGTCACTGGTTCTACACCGATAGTTTTGAAAATCAACATTAATATTTTTCAAGCGGTCTCTCTCTGCACATACGTACTGTTAACAGTTTCTTTTTCTTTCGATTAACAGGATCGGGATATCTAATTTGTTATCACACAACTGATAATCAGATCATATCATAATTTATAAATAGTAAATCAAGTAAATTATTAGTTTTTCTTTGAAATAACATCTACAAATTACGATAGATGCTTAACAATGATTTTGAAGTTAAAATTTTATAATCCATGTGAAACAATAATTTTTATAGAAAAAACAAACAAATTAGCCTTAAGACTGACTTTCAAAGGTTTTTCTGTAAGCCAACGACATTCGTACAATAGACCAGTATATATCTATAAAATTGTTTGTTTCTTCTTAAGCACAAAGCTACACAAAGGGTTATCTATAATTTTAGCATTACAAGCCTTCAGACTTGCTGCTCAGCTAGCGGAGGCATATATGTCTATATGAGATTATCTTTAAAGTTCTACATTTTCATGACTTTAATAAGTTTTTAACAAACAAATTTCATAATTTAAATTAATTCTAATGAATTATATATATATATATATAAATACATAATAATTTTATATTTTGAAATAAGCATAATATCAACTTTACAAGTTCCTTCTTTAAGAATAATTTTTATTTGCTTTCTACAACGGAAAACTACGAAAAGTGACAAGAATAATTAAAATGAGTCAATATGAAATGTTTAACTGTTATAATGATAATGTCATTAGAAATACTCTATAGGAAATAAGACAAAAAATAAGATACTAAGAAAATCATTTTGTAGCTGCAAGTAATAGCGAATTTCCAAAGTGTCTTTAAAATTGTTGTGAATTAGTACTCGAGAGGGCAAAGTTAGAAGCTTCGTTCTCTGCAGAACGAAGAGGAACTTAATGCATATAATTATAAAATAAATTGTATATATATATATAAGAAAACTCGAATTATTTCTTTTTTTTAACAAATTATTCTTTATTTACTAAATTTTTCTATATTTTAGTGGTTTCGTACAATTACAGACTAATATTCAATACAAAAATTTGTCCTAAATAACATTTAAAACATACTTTAAGTACACTGTGAATAACCCCAAAGAAATCTTAACAGTAGTCTGTAATGGAATGAAACCGATAAAATGAAGAAGGATTTGGTAAAAAGAACACTTGAATTACAGTTTATATATATATTTACATACTTATTTGTCATTTTGATATCTTTTTTTTGGTATATTTTATCGTATGTAATAAATAAAACAGAATTAAATGTAAAATACGTCACATGTAAAACCGAATCGGGCAAAACTTATATTGAGAAATTAAGTTATGGCTGTCTCTTGATCCTGAATGAGGATAGCCTAAAGTTTGAAGGTAGGATAATTACATTATGGCTGTCTCTTGGTCCTGAATGAGGATAACCTAAAATTTGAAGGTAGAATAATTAAGTTATGGCTGTCTCTTGGTCCTGAATGAGGATAGCCTAAAGTTTGAAGGTAGAATAATTAAGTTATGGCTGTCTCTTGGTCCTGAATGAGGATAGCCTATAGAGTGAAGGTAGAATAATTAAGTTATGGCTGTCTCTTGGTCCTGAATGAGAATTGCCTAAAATTTGAAGATAGGGTAATTAAGTTATGGCTGTCTCTTGGTCCTGAATGAGGATTGCCTAAAATTTGAAGGTAGAATAATTAAGTTATGGCTGTCTCTTGGTCCTGAATGAGGATAGACTAAAGTTTGAAGATAGGGTAATCTCTAAGCACACAAGTTATCACGGTAGACAGACACAACATGATGAAAATCCAAGTAACAAGGAAGCAGAAAACATAAATCCCGAAACACAAAGTGATGTTCTTTCAGTTCTTTACAATTTTTCTTTCACAGTCAGAATCATAGAAAAAATTCAATGTTTTTATTTATGACAAAATATTACTTATTTGTTTCTTTCAGGGGTATAAAACATGTTTAAAACACAGTTTGTTAAATTTAGTTTTCATTCAAAACACGACTTTTTTCAGAGTGGAGATACGAGGCCTGATTTAGGACTTAAAACTTTGAACTAGCATTGATCCTTGTCAAACAGCAGTCTCTTTGTCTCTTATTAAAACCTGGAAATGTTGCTGTTCTGAAAAAATAAAATTAAAATTTAACGGAAGAAAATACATTCAATGTACATTTATAAGACATTTTATAACGCCATTCCTGACAGCATAAGAAAGCTTGTAACAGATAGATACGCTTTGATATGTCTTGTTAATTAGTTCTTTATTGTTTATTAATTTCCCAAATAAATTATTTAATGCAGATAATAATAATAAATAGGTTGTTAGAAAAATTTATTTTTTTAGGTAAACAATCACGAATTTGTTTATTAAAAAAACTCGAAAATAACACATTTTCTTTTCCAGATATTTTCCCCAACTCAAATAAACCTTTCATCCTACTACCTTGCAATTTAAATATTAATTTATAAACAACTTACTCTCGAGGTACAAAGCCAGATCGTTATCTCCTGCCTTTATTGCTAATTCTCTGGGTGTCATCCCCTAAGAAAAAACAACAAAAAACCTTGTCACTGACAGTTACTTTATTAAACTGTTGAAGCATATACTGAAGAAAATTAAAACGCTCATAATTTGTTGAGAAATTAAAAAAAATTATAAGGTGACTATTTACTATAAGACTAACATTAATTTATGTGAATTATTAATTTCAACGAAAATTATTAATTTCATACCACGGTAATATATTTCATTATTGAAGAAATGTTCATTGAATTTTCATTCCTACAATGATTGATATACTGTATAGGTAGGCTATACGTGAATGGTTACAGTATTCCCTAACTAAATCTTCTTTTCCTTCAAATCATTAATTCACAAACCTGTTTGTCAACTTTAGTCAGAGAAGCCCCTCCTGATACCAGAAGGTAACATATGGTTCGACGTTTGTAAGCTGCAGCCTTGTGAAGTGCTGTTTGACCTCTGAAAGACACAAGTTAATCCCAGAAAAAGGAAAATCGATTAATATCTTATAAACATATATGCTTGCCATATCTGTGCAAACATAATCATGAGAAATATACTGAAAGAGCATATTCTATTGAATATGAATGTTAAATTAAATACATAAACAACAATATATTGTTTGAGAGACATATTTGATGAGCTAACTTTACTAGAAGACATAGACTTGTCTTCAGAGCTCTTCTGTATAATAACAGTATTTATATATATTTATTTTTAAATACAGTATAAAACAGGTCAAAATTGTTTTCATTCTAAACAAGCAGAAAATGATCACTCACTTTTCGTTATCAACCATATCCAGCATGGAAGGAGGAGCTAAGTAACAAGAATAGTTCAATATTAATGGTATTAATAACTCTTAAAAACAACCAACAACTGTTCATTAACATGACAATGAAACAAAACTTACAATAGTTCAATATTAATATTATTAATAACGCTAAAAACACTCAGCAAATGTTCCTTAACATGACAATGAAACAAAACTTACAATAGTTACAAATTAATGTTATTAATAACTCTAAATAAACTCAGCAAATGTTCATTAACATGACAATGAAACAAAACTTACAATAGTTACAAATTAATGTTATTAATAACTCTAAAAATACTCAGCAAATGTTCATTAACATGACAATGAAACGAAATTTACAATAGTTACAAATTAATGTTATTAATAACTCTAAATAAACTCAGCAAATGTTCATTAACATGACAATGAAACAAAACTTACAATAGCTGCAAATTAAAAAGTTTATTATTTCTAAGTGGAATTTGCACTCGATAGGTCTCTTTCAAAATGTGGGAAACTATTGTAAGTAGTGTGACACTAACATTAAAGTATTAATAGGAACGCTAACATTACAATATCGAATGGGTGATGTAACAAATTTATTGTCATGTATTTATTTTTAATATGAACGTTGTTTAGATTAAATTTGTATTTAAAAATACGCGTAACTTATAGTGTCAGATATGTATTGCGTGTAACGAATTTGTTATATATTTATTATAATGATAACGTTTGTTTGGAATGAGTTTATATTTAAAAAACGTGCCTAGCTTACAGTGTTAGTTACGTATGGCGAAACTCCCGCCAATTCTCCAAGATTGTAGAATATTCGTAATAATTGTTGTTCTAAATTGTACTGTTATATATATATATATTGTTTGTTTGTTTGGAATTAAGCACAAAGCTACACAATGGGCTATCTGTGCTGTGCCCACTACGGGTATCGAAATCCGGATTCTAGCGTTGTAAGTCCGCAGACATACCTCTGCGTCACTGGAGGGCATATATATATACTAAAACGTATTTGTGTGCAAAACGAAGCCAGTGTGTTTCAATCTTGTTGACAAATAGCGTAAATTAACTAAAATATCGGCTTCGGACTATTTTAAATTCTCAATACGTAACAGTGAGTACTTCTCGAACTATTAATAGGAGCCGCTAACATTAGGATACTGAAGTGTGAATACTTCTTAAAGTATTAATAAGAACAGCTTACGCTAGAATATTGAAGTGAGTATATATCCTAAAGTCTTTATAGGAACCGCTAACATTACGATATTGAAGGCTTGACTTTTTAAAATCAATAAAGGGTCAGAAGGTGATTACTGACCATTAGCAATAAGGTATCGAACGACATCTTTCTGTCCGTATCGAGCCGCATGATGTAGGGCGGTCATCCCGTATTGATCTATGGTAAGAAGACTATATCCACTTTGGTGTAACTTTTGAAGCTGGGAGAGAGATGAGGTTTAAAGTCACACTTGAGACATTCGTTATTTGTAACCTCTTGTACATAACATTATATAAAAAAGTTACAACGAAAATCATGAACTTACTTATATCTTTTAAACAAAATTTTACAATTATAGTTTCTGTTACATCATTCAAAGTAGTGTGGATATAAAAAAGAAAAATATTTTTTATGTGACTGACATTTACATATAACCTAGAAATTAAAATAATGTAAACATTCACGGATAAATGTCAAGAAGCTGCAGAACGGACGAAACATGAAAATACGTAAAACAATTATGAAATGGTTAAACTCTGACCATGTTCACTTTCTCCGTACAACGATTTTTAGTTTTCTGTATTCCAATTCATTTCACGTATTCAATGAATGAAACAGCTACTAGGACTAATGTATATTAGGTCATTCAAATCAATGTTTTTCTAAGGCTCGAGATATAGTTAACTAACTTCTTACCAGCCCTATGTCACCTGCTTTAGAAGTAATTATCACATCTGAAATAATAAATCGAACAGATAATAAATATTAATTGTTAATATTTCACAAACTTAAAAACACTTTAATTAATCAAAAAGCATTCGAATACCTTTAAAAACGCATGAAATTAGTTTAAGTGTATCACAGAAAACAATTCAAAAAGAGAAATACTTACTAAACTGTGCACATCTAAATAAAGCAACTTTTTAGAAGTTTTATTTTTGTGTTTTAACAGTAGTGATTTAAGTCACAAGAATTTTGTGTTTTTGTTCGATCAAGCTGTTTTATTTCTTGGATATTAAAATACTAAACGACTGGTCGAAGCAAATTGACATTTTCCCCATATTTTATTATATTAGAAAGTGTAATAAACCTACTTACAAATATATATAAGTTACTCAGATACATAGCTTTATATTCGTGTTTCGTGCGACACTTACCATCTGAGAATTTTTCTGAAACATTTCTGAAAAATAACAGAGAAAGATTTTGGTGTTGAAATTAAAATAAGGTACAAACATCATACATTGTAAGTATTATCCAAAACAAAGTTGAATATTGCTAATACACTTAATAGAAACACTTAATAATGATCCCTTTTACATAAAAAATCATCTTGAAAATTTCATTATGCGACTAATCGTGCTGGTAAATTAGTACACGTCTTAATGAATAATCGTTTACGAATCACTTGAATCATTTAAAATAAAACTGGGATTTTAAACGCGTGTGCTTTTTCGTTAAATTATTTTTAGTTCGTTACTCACTTATAAGTCCAAGAGCATAATTACTTGGAATTTACAATAGTTTATGCTACATTTAGATCAATATTTGAATACATTAGTGGCAGATATGATAGATCTCTTGTTATATCTTTACCATGTCCTAATTCACAAACTGGTGGCTATTTAAGTGTACAGGATATAATTTGTGATTTAGTTACTTCTGAAATAGCTCGAGAAAATGTTACATGTTTATTAACAGGTCTGATTGTATATATCAGTTCGTACGGTAGCAGATGTAGATATTTTACGCCATTTTGTGAATTATGGCTGAAATGACAGGGAAAATACTGCTACAAACGTTAGCTTTATTTAATCTGTTCATCACTCGAATGAGTCTACAATATTGTCATTTAGTCATCTGCATCACGTGTCCAGCTGCATTGACTACATTTTACTGGAATGACATTGGAAGGAGCATGGTTTTGTCTAGGTGATTCTGAAAGGTACCATAAATTAAACGCAACATAAGTAAAACATTCCGTCGTCCTTATCCTTAATTAACACTAACAATTCCAGCTACATATTAGGTGGCTTGTAGCCTGTGATATCTGTAGACCCGTGGTGACACATGTGATTTAAGTTTCTAGGTTGTTCCCAAGCTTAGGATGGATCAATACTTAACCGTTAGTGTCATGAGAATTATTCCCGAGTGTATGAATTCAGCTGTTTGAGCGGATAAATACTCACGATTAATCATGAAAGTAATAGTCGGAAAGTCAGAAATTAGAACATAAATCGTTTGTATATATGACGTTGTAATCTTTTTTTTGCGTTTGTTCAATTCTCTAATATAATTCAAATAAAAGTGACCGTGTTTTCTATATAAGTTTTCCCTTTTCAACCTGCATGTGTTGTTCAATTGTTGGCCGAAATATGCTGTACAATAGGCAAATATTCCTGACATAATGTCCAAAGTAATGAATTTGCGAGTTAAGTATGACTTTATTCTAACCTTATTTTTTATCCTCCAATTCACAAAATCAACAACCCATCTGACATGAGTCACAATCTTAGAATGCTAGTCGTCTTCTGTTGGGTCTGATTTTCTTTCTTCTTTATCCAATTTAGCTATATTGCCACGGAAACTTCCTTTTAAAACCCTTCCTTAATATTTCTGTAAATTTGATGATATTCTGGAAACGTCACTGTTTTTGCCACTGATAAAGTAGAATTCCAAGGGATGATCTGTAAACACGATCAATATCGGTGTTACTGAAGGCCTGAACCCTCCCCCTTCCTCCATATATCCATCTGTAAACATGATCAACATCGGTCTTACTATAGGCCTGTTGGGATGTATCCATCTGAAAACATTATCAACATCGGTGTTACCAAAGGCTTGTGTTTGTAGGTAGTAAAGTTTTTATGTTGGAAACTATAATTTCTGCTCTTCTAAGTGCAGAAATGCTTATCATCCAAAACAAGGAAACACTTCAGCTTTCTATATGTATTTTCCAGACATGTATATCTTACAACACCTTCTCCAGAAACTCATACATCCTGAACTCTCGCTGACAACTACCATCACACATATTAATACACAAAAAACAACATTTCTTGTGTGTGTGTGGGGGGGGGGTATTTGTTCTTCTTTGTATTATAGTGAATATGAGGGGAGAAGAACTGGACGTACCGCTTCCTCCATTTCCTTCTGTTAATGCATAGATTCAGTCTGCTTGGGGCATTTCCTGCTGATATCTTTCATCTTACTATACGCAGAGGGTTTCTCTGGGACCATGGATACTCTGAGAGTCTTTTGCCACTAATGTTCAAGTTGCATGTGTTGGCTCAACAAACCACAAAAGCCAAAAGTTAGATGAAAAATAGCACTGTGTCCCTGTTCCAATCACATGGAGAAAAATCAACCATGTGTTGTGAAGAGTCAGAAAGCCCTCTCTTGATGTACATGCTGCTGATAAGATATCATTCAAGCCCCTCACTTCACTTAGCCCTTTGTGGTTGAAGTCTTCTCTGATGGTATTACATTCAGTAATGCAAGTTTTATATCACGCTTTGCCTTTTCCGCCTCCAAAGTTTCAGAAGGCAGAGCCTCGTCTCTGTAGAGGATGAAGTTGAAATTTCGACAAATAATGCCTTCATATACACAACATGTCCTTCAACTATTAGATGTGGAACAGCCAATTCCAGATCAGGTCATGTCATTTTACTTCTAATTGCTGTGTTAAAGCAAAATTTTGAAACATATTACCATCAATGTGTTGTATACGAGATTACTTTTTACTGTTTGTTAAGAAGTTAGATAAGGTGTTTAATAATACATAGTATTTTGTGAAGCGATAACATATTTCAGATCCTAAACACCAACCAACAAACTGTTATCGTTAACAGAGCGATATGACATTTGCTGAAATCATCGGCATCGAAACTACGAAATATAAAAAAAGTTTTAAATGTTGTTTTTTTATTTCAAACTTAACACATTTTTCTTACTACTTTAAAAATGCAAGTTTAGTGAATGATAGATAAATAACAATTGTGCCTAAGTTTCGACTGGTTTCCAGACATTTGGAATGGGCAATAACTTTTGTGGCATCAATGTTTTCAAAAGTTCATTTAATTTGATCGTATGATGCTACGATTACATTGTTATATAGATTTAATATTAATGAAATTTGATTTGACAGGTAATATGCAAAAACGTTTAATAATAATTAAAGTTAAAACAAATCTTGACGTATCTGAAAAGTTATGTACGAATTTCGAAAAAACAAATAAAGTTTAATATATATTTCAGTATGTTTTGATTCTATTGTTCATAGGAGATATTGTATTAAACACTTCAGTATAAATTCGTTAAACAACCAAAGATTGAAATATACCAGTCAACTTCAAAACGAGGTTTAAAACAACAAAAATTTAAAATATTTCTAAAATAAATACTTAAATTACAGTAGGAATGGTCAGTAGGAGAGGTAGTAGACGGCCTTAGTAGCTTTGTTATCATTACAAAGTACAAACACCGAAAGACGGAATCTTATAAGACCAAATGGATATTCTAGATTCTTGTTTGATGTGACACATTTTAATATCTCAATGCAATTTTCAAATTTAACAACAAATTCAGGTGAACATTAGCTTTTCTTTCAGAAATGCGAACACGTAACATTTCGAAGGTGGTTGTTTATTTCGTGGGCTTATGTTACTGATAACGTATAATGTATCCATAATAAAATAAAAAGTTGGACACTATTTTTTCACTTATCAGCTACGTTTTTCGTGTTTGATTTGTCTTTTGGTGTCTTTCTTGAAAGATTTTTTTATTGTTCGAAGCCTATAATTATAATTGAACTAAAACGATATATAATTTAAATTTGACTCTCTATACAACATGCTTCATTTTTTTTTACCTTTCCGGTTCGTTAGATACGAACGTTAGCAGTCTTTTGTCATGGTTACTGGGACTTGTGACATTTTGTTCACGTCCGTTTAATGCAGCTGTTGATTCATAGTTTTCAAGACACTTTGTTTCTTCTTGTTCATTAGAATCAACAGAAAACGTAGCATCAGGATCAAGAATATAGAGATCGTCCCCACATATGTCTACTACATAGTAAAGATGTTCCTGTGCCCGATCAATTCGAAAAAATCTTTCTGCGGTACAAGCTAGGAAAGAATAACTTGATATTAAGCATCGTAACAACCCCATAATTTCATTTCAAAACAATTTTCTGTTTACTTGACGCTACCTACATTTATTGAAATTTGAAATATAGTAGCGGTTCACACTAAAGATGTTTAAGATTCATTTTACAATATTATGAAGAACATAATTCTGGGGAACTACAGTCACAATTAATTTCACAAGGAAGAAACACTAGATTGCAACACTGTAAGATCGAGCACACGTTTCATTTGCTAACGTGATGTATTTTATGTACAAGTCTCTTCCTTCAATCATCTTATTATATCTAAAATATAACATGACATAATGTTTTGGGACAACATTGGACCTATTGGTCCATCTTGGTTGTCCTATCCTCTAAACTAAATTAAAACTATTAATATGTGAATTTTAAATAATCTTAAAGCCAGCCCTTATCATTCATGTACTTATCAAGCTTTCTCTTAAACTCACGTAAATTTACCGTTTTTATAACATCCGAAAACAACCCATTCCAAACGCCAACCACTCTGTAAGAAAAATAAATCTGTCTTAGTTGAAGATGACTCCTACCCTGTCAAAATTTACGTTTGTGTTCCCTCGTCCTACTATTCTTACTGTTAAGTAAGAAAAAAGATGATGCACCAACACTATCAATTCCCTTTATAATCTTAAACATCTCAATCAGATCCTCTCTAACTCTGCTTTTTTCAAGAGAAAACAATTTGAGAGATTCCAACCTCTCCTCGTAAGACAACTCCTACATTCCAGGCACCACTCTAATAACCCTCCCCTGAACCCTTTCCAGAAACTCAATATTCTTCATAAGGTAAGGAGCCCAAGACTGAGAAAATACTCCAGTGACCTATACAATGAAATTATAACTTCTTTAGACTTGTATTCAATATTTCCCTAAATACAACCTAAAATCCTGTTTGCCCTACCACTAGTAAAAGCACACTGCTTGGAAAGCTTAAGAGACTAATCAACTATTAAACCAAAAATCTCCTTCTTTCATGACACTGTTAAGGTTATTACCATCCAAATTATACTTATAATTCAAATTATGATAACCCACATGCATTATCTTACATTTATTACAACTAAAATCCATTTGCCATATATTTGCCCAACTCACTAAATGATGTTAATCAGCAGCATCCTCTTCACAGCTAACAACACCTTAATATGATCTGCAAATTTAAATAATTTATTGACCATTCCTTCATCTATGCCATTGATGTAAATCAAAAAGAGCAGAGTTCCTAAAACTGAGCCCTGAAGTATCCCACTTATAACATTAATCCAGTTTGACTGAATTCCATTCGTAACAATCCTCGACTTTCTTCCATCCAGCCACTCTTCTATCTAATTTGCTAACTTACCCCACACCCAGAGAGATAATTTTTTTACCAGCCTTTTATATTTCACCTTGTCAAATACTTTCTAAAAATCCAAATACACCAAATCTGCATCCTTACCTTCATCTGCATAAGCAGTAACCTTCTCAAAAATGTCAAAAGATTCATAAGACAAGATCTTTCCTTAGTGAAACAATGTTGACTATCCAATAAAATTTTAAACTTTGTTAAATGGCTTAGCAAACCATTATTCAATTTTCCAAAACTTCCCACAACTGATGTAAGACTAATAGGCCTATAATTACTGGGACAATTTTTATCACCTCCCTTGAAAAGAGGAGTGACATTGGCTAACTTCCAATCCTCTGGTACCTGCACACTATTCAAAAAGTGAATCTTTAACCTCCTTCAAAACCCTTGGGGAAATATTACCTGGCCCAGGAGCCTTATCATTTTTTAAACTTCCCAATGTTTTCTTAACCAGATGAGAATTAATGCAGTCATCTTGTTTGATCTCGTTTCCATTTATCAACTGGCCAAGATGTGGAATACTGCTTAAATCTTCGTTAGTAAAAAAACTGAAGAAAAAGCAAAATTTAATAACCCAGTCATATCATAGTCATCAGTTACAAGCCTTCCTTTATCACCCCTGAAGACTCCTATCCCCATCCTAACACTTTTTTTGCCCTTAATGTATTTAAATAAATCTTTATTGTTAATTTTAACATTTTCAGCCAACCTTTGTTCATACACCCCTTTTGATGTCCTAATTTCTTGTTTCACCAACTTTATTGATCTTCCATAATCTTATAGATTTACTGTCATACCAGTCAATTTAAATTTCTTACATTTATGATGCTTTTCTTTAATTTTATCTCTTATACTCTTTGTGAGCGAACTTGGTTTTTACTTGCAGCTACCCTTTTCTTGCTATAAGGAATATGTTTACCTTAAACATTTAAAAATTTATCTTTAAAAAATTTCCACATCTGATCAGTGTCTCCAAATAACTCATCTGCCTAATTCATAACAGATAATTCTTGTTGCATCTCTCAAAATTTGCTGTTTTGAAATTTGTAACAAAAATGTCATTATTTCTGATCTTCATATGCAGCAAAACATCGAACCGAATAGAGCCATGATCACTTGTACCCAAATGTTCCCCAATTTCCACCCTCTCGATCATTTCTATATTTGAAGTTAACAATAAATCTAAAATAGCATTGTTTCTAGTAAGTTCCTTGACCAGTTCGTGAAGCAAACATCTTGAACAGTTTCCAAAAACTTTTCTCTCTCACGGACTGACATTAGCATTTCCCAATCTGTATGCCCGAAATTAAAGTCATCCATAATTATGACTTCATTAACAGCTGAAATCTTAACCTCATTGCAACGTTTCTAACTAATTTCATCAGTATCATTTGGTGGTCTCTAACAAAACCCACTAAAATACTTGTCCCTTTATATTCGTTAATAGAAATCCAATTTGATTAAATCTCTTTGCTATTATTTTTGATATCCCCAACTTAAAATTTTATATATAAATCCACTCCGCTCTCTCTCTTTGGTACTCTATTCCTATTAAATAATTTATAACCCTGTATTTCAAAGAAATTTCTGTATCAAAATCATCTACATTTAACCATGTTTCAGTTATTACCATTATATCAAAATCCTCCATTCCTACCAGTGCTTTAAAGTCATCTATTTTATTTCATATGCTTCTAGCATTAGAATAGTAGCAATTAAGCCTACGCTTATAATTACTTATATACTCATTTCCTATGCTAAACATTTCTCTTCCTCTTATTCTTTTTGCTTTTAATTTATCCTGGCCCTCGCCACTGTATAGTTCTAGTTTAAAACTTCCCTTATATCTGAGTTAATAGCTCTAGCAAACAAGCAAGCTCCAATCATATTTAAATGTAAACCACACATTCCAAAAGCCTTCTTCCATTGAATTGATCCTACACGTCTAACCAGCCAATCTGCTCATCCTAACATACTAACATAAGCATAGCATTTAGTCCTAGTGATCTACTTATAACTCCATCTCCACAGTTAAATACCATATTCGAGCTCTTTTCTCTAGTTTCAAATTATAAAACAAGATCAGTGTCAGAGGTTGAAGTTACTGCAAACGAGACTCGTTTAAAGTTTTATTTATTTTGTATTCTTGCATTATTTTTGTTATTTTCAAATGAAAATATTTCTCTATATCTCTTATTTCAGAGATAATTCCGTAATAATGATATAATTCTCTCTATTATAAAAATATAATATATTGCATTATAACAATATAGTTCTTTGTCCTATTACTTCTGTTTACGTTATAACGATGTATTATTTAAATTCTGAAAATACGATTCTTTGTGTTATAACAATGAGATTCATTATTAGAAAGTTTATACTCACAGTCAACAAAACACCATTCTGGAGAAAGATTTTGAGAACCAAAGTCATCTTCTGATATGGCCTCTCTTGTTTTCTTTAAATCATATTTTAAGAAAATGCTGTGTCATAAAAGGTTATTAAATATAACATTTCAATCTTACATATCTGAGCGGCATTTACAGGGGATTCAGCTTTGTTTATTAACTTTAGCTTTATTAAATGATGGTAAGTTAAATGTAATGACTTTGAAATAAAAAAAAAGACTAAGCCAAAAATGAAATAAGTCTTTTTAGTAACCAATACGTTTTTCTTTAAGACTTAGTGTTATGACAAAGGTGCAATCATTCGAATTAAACTTGTTTGTATGACTATGTGAATTTTACTGTTTAAGGGATAAAAATCCTTAAATTAATGCCAAAAGATATTAATTCACTATAATGGCTATATAAGAGACTTTACTGTATTTCTTTAGTTTGCTGACCCAAGCTGTGCTGATGAACCCTGAATAGGTTAAACTGCAGTCTACAGAAAAGGGTGCAGCGAATTAAAGAATGCATTTAGTATCTAAGTCTGTTTGTTTGTAGTTATGCACAAATCTACACAATGGGCTATCTGTTCTCTGCCCACCATGGGTATCGAAACCCAGTTTCTAGCGTTGTAAGTCCGCAGACATACCGCTGTGCAACTGGGAGTCGGTCTCTAAGTCACATATTATATTTGTATTTTACCTTTGGCGAAAAGAAATCTGTAATACATTCATTAAACGATTGATCAGCTGTATAATGTCGAATAATATATTAGGCCCAATGTTACAATATTATTAACACACTTAAATTAATTTAGGCTGCTATATGGTGAATTAAAAATAACTCAGAAAGTTCCTACAAAGTAAAATAAACTTTTACCTCCAGAAGCTCATTTATTCTAACTCGTATTTGTTCCAGATCAGTACCCAGCTCCACACATAGTGTTCCCAGAGGTATAGCTAAGTTAAGATAGTTATGTATTAAATATTTCAGCATCATAACTAAAACAAAAATAATCACAAGATTCTTATGTTTTTCAATCATAAGTATGTTTAAACATTTGTGTGGCTAAAGATAAAATCTGTTTCTATGCCGTAACAATGTTTTTAAAAGACATTAGAGAGAGAAGATTCGAGTTCATCGTTAATTGTTAAATAGTGGAAGTTTTAGAGGACATTATTGAACATCAGTGATGCTGGTTCATGCTAACTGCTAAGTATTAAAGAAGAGAGTTTTTGAAAAATGTTTTTAAACAGTACAATTACTATATATTCAAATAATTGCTTCCTGTACTAAGTTGTGAAATTCGAGTATTTCGAACGTCTACGTCACAGACTGCAGCATTTTGACTTTTGATAATCAAACACCACAAAAGACGGATGCAGATCTGATAGATACAGAGTTAGGATGATTTACTGTTAAATTAGTTACCATCATTGTCGAATAAAGTTTTCCTACTGCGTTAAAAATAATGAACGAAATTGTTAAACACTGACCACAGAAAGTACAATCTTTACAATAACTAATTTTGTTTTTGTTTAGAAAATAAAATAAAAACAAATAATGAATAAATATTAAAAAATATAACCTAAAAAACTTAATTAAAATCTAAAAATTGTGTAGAAAAAAACCCTGCAGAAGTTGTGGCTAAAAGGCTTGTCTTGATGAAAAGAGATATATAATGCTTTGTCTTATTTGAAGTTAGATGAGATTTAAGTGTTTAGTCTGTGACGCACATGAAGATGATGGAAAAAAAAATAAGCCAAAGGTTGTCATGCAGAAAACATTACAATGGAAACACATTCGGTATCAGTGAGATGTTTTTTTTTTCTGCTAATTCACCCGAACATTATAACTTGTTCAAGTAGACTTATGCTCTGGAGATATGTATGTCATGAACTTACAGACTTCTCTCAGTTTTTCTTTATCGTAGTGGTATTTCTCATACTCTATCATATTAAGTCTCCGAACTTCAACTGTTAATTTCTCCAACATAGGCCTGTCAAAAAAAAAAGCACATTATATAGTTAAAACTTCTCAAGAGAATATACATACAGACTGTTTAACAATGAATAATATTTATCGTTGAAATGAATACCTAATAAGGACAAATGATTCTGGTTTCAGAGCACTCATGTTTTAATGCTGTCTATTTCTTTTATCTTTTTTTTTACATATTTACTTAAGGATACAACGTAGCATAATAGATACAAATTACTTACATGCTTTGAGTATCACCATGTCTCTGTAAATATAAATACAAAAATTAGTATAAGAATTTAAAAGTTGTTTAAGATATTTTATTTATTAAAAATAGATATTGTAATTTCTTGTAAAACTTATTATTTATATCGCTTTTAAGAATTTAACAAAAATTTGTATTTTTATTGTTAAATATAACACTATATCCATTGAGCTAACAACAGGCAACAGAGATTGAATACGTGATATTGAAACGATTTTGGAGTATCGCCAAGTCGTTACAGGCTATGACGCTACGTTCCGTTATGCTCCACTTGACGGTCGTGAATCTTTTCAATAGCCCTGAAGTGCAGTTTTCATTATAGAAGGCTTTGTCGTAAGGCTGCCATATTAAAAGCACATAACTACTCCGTGCAAGATTTCATAATACATCTAGTGGCACTTAGCCCATTTTAAGAGTCTGATCACACAGAAATTTATAGTCTAGCCATTTGACCTGTATATTTTCTTATACAGTATATCTTCTTAAAGGTCCTAGTACCCCAAGTTGATCCATAGTAATTTGTTTCTCAGTGCTACTAAAATTCAAGGGATATCGCCGCCTTGGAAATTACAAATCCCCACTTAGTATATAGCCTATTACCTATGAGCTATAATTTGGTAAGCTAGAAAAACAAGGAGAAAGAGAGAGAGAGACATATAAATGCATAGATAGATTGCTTTTGGATTTTCTTAAGTTGAGTATAGCATGAGATATAAATGTGAAAATATTTTAGGTATCAACATATGATATCTCATTTGAAAGTTTAAAAAAATTAATATTCTGAGGTATACATTTTCTTCAAATTTAACAACAATAAGAAACATTGTTTTGATGTTTTTACAGAATTCCTAACTTATACATATCTCAATACCTACGACTTTAAATACAACGATAACTGAACATTTCTGGAGTAATATACCTTTGCCTTGGCAACCATGCTGGCTTTATTTCGAAGGCGCAGTTCAATTATGGATGGTAGTAATTTACATGGTTCTCCGTCCACTTGCATAGGAATTGTACGGGTTGTGATGATTCGGGCTTGCCGGCACTGAGCGAGGCAAGTCCCATGACCGCCTGCTTGAAGCAACGGCTAAAAACAGGATTTTTTTTTTAAATGCAAGTGTATAATTCCTTTACTATATACAACGCTAAATACTTGGGTTCGATATTCGCAGCGCGTGCTGTGCAGATAGCCTACTATCTATGAGCAAACACAAAAACCTTTGCTATAAAACGTTATTTTTTAAAATATTTTATTTCCTTATATTACTAATCTTTAAACAAATAAAATGAAGATTCAAGTTTTGTTTAGTTTAAAAAAACTACTTGTTTTTCATCATCTTTTCAAAGTTTTACTGATTTCTTTTCATATTAGTTTGTTAAGTTGCTAAGTTCTTATTGAGCAAAGTTTGCTTTGAGTTGTTACAGTTGGTGAAAAAAGTAGAAAAGAAAATCTGAAAATAACAGGGTTATCAAATCTCAAGTTACATTATATGTGATTGTGACAAATGATCAAGAAGCGTTAAAGATATATAACAATCTGATTAAACAGGTTCATAGAATTATATATATATTATTTTTCAACACTTACTAGTTGATATGTAGTAAGGCCTACAACTTCAAGTAGCCCGTCATCTGTTCTTTGAAGCTCGAACCCTGTCCCAGGATTTATCCAAGGCCTTGTTCCTCCACCATAACTGTTCAAGACATAGATAGAAGTTTATTTCTAGCGTAGGGCTACGTTTGTTTAAATAAGTGGCGAAACGGCAAAATATCGATTAAAATATTGACAACGTTTCTATCAGTAACTGGACTTTCTCTTCATAAGTTTCGTTCAAGTTGACTTGAAAAAAAAGCGTTAAAACATTCGAAGGTGAAAAGAAAAGAGAATATAATAATTTTAAATTAAGTATCACATACGAATATTTACACTAGATTTTATTATTAAGCACTCAACCTTGATTACTTCCCTTCAATGTATAAGTCGTTACAATAATGACATACGGTATCATATAAGCTTGCGATCGTTTATAAGCTATGTCAACGTTAATCACTTATATTCATAATTCATGATTTTTAACAGCGCATACACTTCAAATTTAGTTTTTTAAACATCACTCACTTAGTTGGCAACGTTATGACAAAGTGCCAGTGCTCCGGATGTTTCATTAAGCAGTATTTCAACTTTTCAGAGAAAACACATCATGGAACAGCGACTATGGTATACTTTGAATATCTAAATGGTTTGAGATAGATCAGAATCATGTTCTGTACTAACCTGGGAATGTTTAAAAATAAGACAGCGTGGATGCGAAGCTCCTTCAATCTCGGTGTCAAATCCTGTCCATCGCACTTGAACATAGAGCAAAATACAAAACATGTGTTCTGTTAAATACCGTCTAAACTTGTTGCTCCCGATCTAGTTTTGTTGGCATGACACAGTTTCAATAAAAAGTATGTTTCTCCATAGTGTATAAAATTATATCTTACTGACGTAAATTAGAATTAGTAAACTAGAATGAAAAATATTAGGCTTACATACGTTAAACGATATGAACACAGAAACAGGATTGAATTAGTCATTTATTCCTTAAAATCCAAAAGTAATTTAATGATTCAAAGAATTTGAACATACTGGAACGTTAAAAAAAGACAAAAGTTCTGACATCCGTGTTACTCTTATTTTTCAATATACTGGATTGTTATTTTTTAATTTGACAACTCAATACTCTGTGCTTATAAAATATAATGTTTTCTATTGCACAAAAAATATTCGGTAGGTTAATAAGTAAAGCTAGAAAAGTCCAGGTTAAATGCAAAAAACCTACTTCAAGATTGACATAGTTGCACAGACTTTTTTTCATGTTTCTATTGCATAACAAATATTTGGCATATGTTGATTAGTAACGTTAGAAAATTCCAGGTTAAAAAGCAAGAAACTTACTTCAAGAGTGACAAAGTTGCACAGATCTTTCCATTTTCTTTGTAACAAATCTTTTCCACCTGCTTGCCCATAAAACATTTTGTTTTTTAGCCTGCTGTTGAATCGATCAGGCCGAGCTTCTGTAATATAAGTGTTACCATAAGAACTCGAAAACGCACAAGCTGTTTGATAACTCTTAGCTTTAAACAAAACCTCAAGGATTGGTTTGGTTTATAAATTTCGCGCAAAACTATACCAAGGCTATCTGAGCTAGCCGTCCCTAATTTAGCAGTAAAAGACTAGTGGGAAGGCAACTAGTCATCACCACCCACCGCCAAATCTTTGGCTACTCTTTTAGCAACGAATAGTGGGATTGACCGTCACATTACAACGTCTCTAAGGGACCTCAAGTACGTAAAAAACATTACAACCAGTCTACACAAACAAGGTACGTTCTTAAAATGTGTCTACTATATTTATCATAAATTATTTTGATGGACGTTTTGTTTCTAACAAGAAAACTGTTGCACAATGCTAAAGGTTAACTTTACAAATTGTATTAAAAGCACAAATGACAAAATTAACATAAAATGAATCTTAAATTAAAGCGTGAACTTTCAGAACCATCTCATTTATTGATAACATTTAAACTTCATTTAAACCAGTAGAAACACAGACACACACACACTTTAGAATTTCCCATCGAACTTTGGAAAAGTAATTCAGATGAGCTAATTTATAAATACAATGGGTTGATAAAGGCATTTAAAAATGGCCATAACTTAATTGTTGCCTAGAATTAATTGTGAGGATGAAATTATAAGTAGGTCACTAGGGCTGGATGTTGTGTGTGTGTGTGTTTTTTCTTATAGCAAAGCCACATCGGGCTATATGCTGTATTCATCGAGGGGAATCGAATCCCTGATTTTAAAGTTGTAGATCAGTAGACTTACCGGGGGACGCTAGATGTTAAGCTTAAGTTAATATGTAAGGATGAGCAGATTGGCTGGTTGGACTTTTGAGATCAATTTAAGGGGAAAAAGGAGCTTTTTTTTGGAATGAATGGTTTACTTTTGAATATGGTAGAGGCTGGCTTGTTTTCAAGGGCTATTAACTAAGCTGTAAAGAAGGTTTTAAGCTAAGACTAGACAGTGGTAAAAGCCAGGATAAACTAAATGCAATTAAATGTGTCCAGTCTTGGACACCTTACCTTAGAAAGGACATTGAATTGTTGGAAAGGGTTCAGAGGAGGGCTACTAGAATGGTGCCTGGTATGGAATGGTTGTCATACTAGGAGAGGTTAAGATACCTGAAATTGTTTTCTCTTGAAAAAAGAAAGTTAGAGGGGATCAGACTGAGGTGTTAATTGACAGTGTTGATCCGTCATCTATTTTAATACTTAATGGTGAAAATGGTAGGACTAGAGGATACAAACGTAAATTTTGGCAGCTAAGATAGTATTATTTTTCTAACAGGGTGGTTAGCCTTTGAAACGAGTTGCCTTCAGATGTTGTGAAGGCAGTAAATTTATGTAGGTTTAAGAGAAAGCTTGATAACTATATGGATGATAAAGTCTGGTTTTGAGTTTTTCTTAATAGTTACAGCTTAGTTTAGAGAATTGGAAAGCCTAGATGGACCAACAGGTCCTTGTTGTCGCAAACCTTATGTTATGTTAAGTAACTTTTAATCAGTATTTCTTTACACAAACACACACACACATATATATATATATTATAGTCAATCAAAGCGATAATCTGAAATTATGCCTATTAAAAATATGTATGATAACTTAAATGTGTTTACCTCTCGCTTCGTGGAATTCCAAAGCTATATGAGCATCAACACCAAGAGAAAAGTAGTTGTTCACAACGTTGAGAGGCAAGTTCGTTTTACCTTCTTCACAGCTTGATGTGTCAATATCAGGATTTTTCTCAACATGAAGATTCCATCTGCGCAACGTGAAAGCATAAAAAAAAGTTGAATAGTAACCATGTCCCTGTGTTAAATACAGTTAGGTCTACATTGATAAATACGTGTTGTGCTTATAATTAGTGATTTATGTCAACTTATTCATACATAGTCAGAACAACTAAATAGTTTTGTTTGTTTTAAGTTAAGCAAAAAGCTACATAATAGGCTGTCTGTGCTCTGCCCACCACGGGTATCGAAACACGTTTTTTTTTTGCGTTGTAAGTCCGCAGACATACCGCTGTGCCACTGAGGGGCCAACTAAATAGAAAGTTAAGTTTTACAAGATGATTTAGATTTTTCCCGTTAGAGTTTCTGCAGAATATGTGGATATATAATTTGGTTAAAGCCTTTTAACGTGCGCTAGGTAAATATCTAAAATACACAAGTTTCTAAAATAAATCGTTATTATGAAGAAAATACTTAAAACAATTAACACAATAAAATTCCCTCAAAAGGGAATAATCACATATGAACTTCAATTACAGAAAACATCATCGTCAAAGAGGAAGTAAAAAATATATAAAAAAAGCGACAAGAATAATTATTTTAAAAATGAGATGCTACTCTATAAGTTAAACACGAAATAATACTTACTGCTAAAAGACATATGTGTCACATGCACGATTTCATGAACCTCACCTGTCTAGCTGAATAGTGTCTCCGGCTTGAATGTTAGAGAGTATTTTAAAAATTGGTTCATCGGTGTAACCCTAAAATAACAGTAGTTCATCAGACGTGGAAGTTAAATAAATATTAAACTTTTATTTATATTTTCAATTTGAAGGATTAAAGCAAATATTAACATATTGGCTCTGTCGCTTCCCCAACTACAAGGGGAGGGACTTCCCAGTCACTATGTGTATTATTATTAATGATTTATTGATTGACGTTTAATCTATATCGACATACAATGGTTTATTTTTAAAACTTTCACGTCTATGTGTGTAGTACTTACTCCCAAAACAACAACATGAGTAACAGACAAGTTAAACATAAGATATTTCTAGTAACAGGAATTCACTCACCCCTCCCCAGCCAAGTGCACGAGCTAGGTCGTTTCCTGTACCTAAAGGTAGTACTGCTACAGGAGGAGAAGGAGTTATGTCTATTTCATCAAGAAGCGATAGCACCCAGCCCACTGTTCCGTCTCCTCCACAAGCTAAAATTCGCAGGTTTGGAACCTTTTTGTACAATTCTAGTCTGTAATAAGCAAAATACGATTAAAAGTTTTTTTCCATAAGGGCAGAAATAGCAAAGAATTGCATTTCTACAAAGATTTAGAATAAAAAATACCTTAAAGAAATGCTTACCCAGCACTAGGACCTCCCTGAGTTAAATTAAACACTTGTCGAGGGTTAAGCAACCACTGGAATTTTTGCATTAATTTGGCCCCTTGATTACCTCCACTTTTAGGATTTATGAACACAATTAATGGTTTAGATGATGTTGAAGGAATGGGCTTAATTGCAAACGTTCTTGGCTGTTCTTTTTCATTCTAGAATATAAAATATAATTAGAATTAATAGTAGTACGAGAATTTTCAAGTCAAACATGCCTAAACTGGGAAATTAGTCTCCTATACATGTTTTTTTGTTGAAGCATCTCAATACAAAAGATTAACAGTGTTTTGCTGAACTTTTAGTTTATTAAATGAATGAGGTTTTCTTCATTTGTTTTTATATTCCATAAGTGTGTTAATACATTGCGATTACGTTAGCACATCTTTATGACAGCTCCTATATTTTAACACACACACCCGGCTGTCTCGTTCCATAAATCATCCTTGTGCATAGTTATTCAAACACGAAGCTTCTGCTAATAGTGCATGTTTTCTGGAACCTTAATCTTTATTTTATTTTGTCTTTTTACATAATTAAATCCTCAAATGTGTAATCGCAGAGACGGTATTCTAGTTCTCTCGCAGGCCAAAATAATTTATTTTACTTTATTGAATGCATCAAACTCAATATTTGGAGCAGTATTAAAATAAGCAATGTCACGTCAACCTCCAAAAAATCTAATTACAGAGGAAAACAATAATTAGCCAAAAAAATAAAATAAAAAACTGTTCAAAAGTTGCTGATAATGCTTCGAAAACGTTCTGGTTTTATACGAAGTAACATATGAAAAACAAATTCTTATTTAGAGCTGATTTGATAAAATAAAAAAAGGTTGAAAAACTCGCCACACTCTGATTTGATCTGGTTTATAGATATACATCGTCACGCAAATTATTCTAAACTATAGTTTTTGTTTTGTTAATTTAGAAGTCAGTACTATTTATAAAGTTAATTCAGCAGCTCAGTGTCGTTTTTGTTGTTGTTTATGACTTACCATTCACTAACACCTCTGGTTATATTTCTATAACTGCCTTCCTGTTGGATTTTGGTTTCATATAAAAATCAGAAGAATGGATTTTCAAAAAACATGTGTTGAAAGATTCCGATAGTGAAAGTGATCCAATGTTAAAATCTTTATTCCGCAAAAAATATAATAATATTCGCAAAACATAGAGCAAAGAAGATTTAACAACAACAAAAAAAGACATCAGGAATCAAAGTTGCTTTAGCATATATGAAAGAATATAACGTTTTATTCGTATTTGTGCAATAAACTCGAGAGATGGCGGTAGAGTCGCACTATGCCCTTGATAAATCTAAAGTAACTAATGAAAGTGTTTTACTTGTGTTTTGAATCAAATATATTTCGTGTAATATTTTATGTAAGTATGAAATGATAAAATAATATCATAGAGATGCAGTTCACAATTAGGTTATTTTGTATATACTATGCTGATATCTTTCAAAATATATAATCTAACATTTTCATGAAGTTATTTATGTTAAGTCATGTACTACAGCCAAGACTACAGGGCAAAGGATAAGCGAATCAGGAAATATAATTTTAAATTGAGTTCTTGCACAGAGCTTAAAATATAACGTTGATAAATCGAAACATCGGCACATGTAGACATGTAGATCTTCAAAGTCGAGTTGTTCAAAACTTGAAAATAACGTTGATAATTGGACCAATTGTTGGTTGAGATGTTGCAAAGGAAATAACTGCTGAAGCTTTTCGCCAGACACTAATCATAGCAGAACCGTCTGGAAAATGATGTATAGGAAATAGTACAGCTTATAAAATGAGTTAGATCAACGTAGGTCGCAATCTGAGGGTCGTGGGTTCGAATCCCCGTCACACCACACATGCTCGCCCTTTCAGCCGTTGGGGAGTTATAATGTGACGGTCAATCCCACTATTCGTTGGTAAAAGAGTAGCCCAAGAGTTGGCGGTGGGTGGTGATGACTAGCTGCCTTTCCTCTAGTCTTACACTGCTAAATTAGGGACGGCTAGCGCAGATAGCCCTCGTGTAGCTTTGCGCGAAATTCAATAACAAACAAACAAACAATCAACGTAGGCCGGTAAGGCAATCACTGATTGGCATGTCCTTAAGCCAGTCAGGAAATGTCACAGACCTACTGAAGGATGTGTAAATTGTATAGGAATTCTTTTTGGCCGCAAAGGACAGGTTTATGTATTTTAATA